CTTCCCATCAGGTAGGTAAGGGTGGCCCAAGGTCCTCCTGGGAATGACACCTTTCACCAATCAGGAGCTTTTCCATCTTTCCCACTCATTAGTTTCATTGCTGGACAGAGCTGGTATCCCACCTCTATCACGTCCCAGGTTTAACCATGGTCAGATTTGTTTGTCTAGAAAGAGAAGGTCTCGTATGTTTCTTTCACTCTTTACCCACAGTGACTTTTCTGAGTTTAGAAGAAGTTATGTAAGAGAGTAATTGTCCTTTCCTAGAATGTTTGATAAAATTTACCTGTGAAATTATCTCATGCTGCAGATGTTTAGGGTGGGGAAGGGAAGAAGCATGTGGTTGACCACTGACTTAATTTTCTGAGTGACCAATTCAGGGTTCCTATTTGTTGTCGAGTCTGTTTTGTCAATTTATTCTGAAAATATGGATTTCATCAAAATCATCAGAATTATTGTCATAATGTTATTCTCAGTACTGTTGAACGACTGCTAAAATTTCTCCTAAAATGGCAGTAATGTTTTCTTTTTATTCTTACTGATGTTCATTATTATTATTATTGTGTGTGTGTGTGTGTGTGTGCACACGCGTGCACACACACTGGGGATCAAACTCAGGGCTTCATGCACACCAGCAAGCACTCTACCACTGAGCCACATACCAAGCCTGACTCTTCCTTTTCTTGAGCAATCTTATCAGAGAGATTTTTATTAATCAATATTTCAGTTAATTGCTTTTTAAAAAATAACCATTTTTACAATATTTCTATTTAATTTTTTTGAATCTTTGTATTTTTATGTTTCTTTCAGCTTCTTCTGTAGGTTTTTCTTAACTTTTAAGCAAAATGTGTACCTTCTGGTGGTTTAATTTTTTCCAATATATACATGTAAGACAATATAGTTTCCTCTAAGTTCCCTTTAAATTGCATTACTTAAGCTTTAATGTATAATCTTTTTATTATCATTCATGTCTAAATTCCCATTATGATTTCTATTTTAACTCATGAATTATTAAATATGGCTTTTCAATTTCTAAACATATGTTTTATTTGTCTCTTTAGATTATTTCACTCAAAGAAGCTAGCAGCAGCCTATTCTCTTTTTTTTTGGCAATAAAGCAGAAGGCTTTTCCCAAAATTTTGGTGGAGGTAACCATTGTATCTAGTTTATTTTACAGAAAATTTACTTTATATCGTAGATCAAATGCACAACTACACAGAGTGGTGTTTATTGACCACTAAATTAATCTTATTTTTATGGGCATGCAATGATGCCACCAACATTTTGTCATATAGGAAAGGAATACAGTTGGTACTGAGGATGCTTTTATCAAACTAAGAAATATAAGAAATACATGAATGATTCTGTGAGAGGGTAGACAGGGTGGGTGGGGAAGGGGCACCTGACCCAGAGAGGTGGTAGGAGTGAGGAGACTCCTCAAGACTCCCACCAGAAGGTGGCTGGAATTGGCCCAAGAGTGGAGAACAGTCCCCAGGAAAGAGGAGCCGCCTGAGCACATGTGTGAGTAGCAAGAATAAGTGGACTTTGTGTGCTGCAAAAAAGGCTGAGCCCTGAGCTGTGAGTAGTCTGCAGAAGTCAGATGAACCACAGATTCCACTAGGGGAGGCTTCCAGGCGAGGCTTGGTAAGTGGCTCCTCACGTCTGTGCTCAGCTCTTCAGCTTCTGCAGGGCTCACACCTCCCTCCTGCTGGGCTCAGGAGGTCTCCCTACCTTCCTCTAAGGGACGACCAGGGCTGGCCAGTCTCAGAGCCACCCCAAATTGTCCAGCTCAGCTCCTACACACAAACAACATCCCCCAGGGATCAGCTGTCCCCGCCAGGTGCGTGCCAAGAGACTTACACTTGACCTTGCTTAATTCCCTAGCAAGCCAGGGGCACATCCACAGTGGTGCTCCACACTGCAGATGAGCAAGCTGAGGGTTGGGGTGTTAAGCACTTGCCCAACTAAGTCGCTCTCAACTCTCTCAACGACGTTGTCCACAGAAAACTTTCTCCTACTTTGGGGGGCAGGATTGTCCGTTAAACTTCATACAATGCAGCCTTAATCCCCAGTGCTGTGGTATTTGGAGATGGGCCTTTGGGAGGTAAATAGGCTTATTTGAGTCATGAGAGTGGGGCCCTCATGATGGTGTTAGTGACCTTCGACCTTGTGCTCTGTCTCCCTGACTTCCTCTCCCTCTACGCTTTTGAGGGTATGTGAGGATCTGGCAAGAAGACAGCCATCTACCTACAAATCAGAAAGAGTCCCCGATTAGCCTGCATTTTGATCTTAGACTTTTCAGCCTCGAGACTGTGAGAAATGGACTCCTGTTGTTACGTGACCCAGTAAGGGGGTTTGCTATGGCAGCCTGAGCTAATCCACATTCACAGCCAGAAAGTCGCTGAGATAGGATTTGTTTCCTTTCGGCCCCAGCACAGAAGCCCATGCCTACTCCTTTGTCTCTCTAAAAAATGAGAGCCTCAGTCTGTCTCATGGACTCCCGGAGGCAAAGGCTCCCATGCCCAGTCAACATTGCTAAGAGTTCTGTAGCAGCTGCCCATGGGCGAGGCCTCACAGGTGAGTCAAAGCCACTTAACTCACTCACAGGTGACTTAAGTCAGGATGATCTGAGCTAGAAATGACAGAATATTCAACTAAACATGACCTCAACCATAGGGATTTTCCCCCAATCATAAGATGTGCAGAGGTGGGTGGCCCCGGCACTGATTCAGCCAGTGCTGAGGGAGCAGCTGGATGCCGTCACCAAGGGCCCACGGGTTTCCCTCTTTCTGAGCTGCCATTCTCAAGGAATCAGCCTCATGGCTATGCATGGCCCCACGGGACAGTGCCAAAAGCATAAGGGAGGTGCAGCTTTTTTTTTTTCTTCCTCAATCTATTATTTCTGTGAATTTGGGAGGGACATTTTTTAGTTTCTCCCTCAATATAGGAAACTTCGTTTTATGCCCCATTGACTTAAACTGCCCCACACTGATTCACACAGGCAAGCTGCAGAGGAGGACCCAGCATGTTTGACCCCAGGTTGGGGAGCAGGCTCAGCTGGAGATGGGAAGAGGGAGGACAGGTGCCGCTGGTCTGAACCAGCAGTGTCTGCCACAGAAGCTCAATTAAGAGAGTCTTCTTGTTGGCTGCTGTTGTGTGCTTATTCTCCTATGGTTTATAAACCTCTAAGACTAATTGGGGAAACGATTACTTTATTAGCTATGAAAATCCGTTTGGTAGAAACACTTTCAACACCAAGAGTCAATTATTTATTCAGTTTATGCAAGAGATATTCACTGAGAAACTACTTCTTGCTGAGCTAAGTACTGTAGACAGAAAATAAAAATAATTTGTCATATGGATAATCATAATGATGGATTCCTCTGTGGTAGAAAAGTCTAAAAAAAAGTCTAACATGTGATTGTTATTAGACCTCCCTACCTCTAGGGGTGACAGATTCCCACTTCTTCTAAAGCAAATCTTCCATTCTGACTCAAATAAGGAATAAGCTGAAGAGACTAAAATGTGGGTCATTACATGCAGGATTTATCCCTGGGAACTCATAAGTCAAAGCAGACAAATGCCATGAGGTTATAATTCTGGGAAAATCAAACTTGCAAACCCCCAATTTTATAGGTTGTAGCATCCTAGGTTTTCCATTAGAGGATCTCAATAAGTTAAGGCTTCCCACCTTCTAGGATCTACTGTCCCTGCAGGAAGCAGAGCCCTACATCTGTGACCCCAGGACAACATTCCAGGTGCCTGGCACTGTGAGGGATGTGGGCAGAGAAGGAGGCTGTAGCCCTGCCAGGCCTGGGGAGGACAGAGCAGGGGGCAGGGCCTTCCAGCTGAGAGGAGGTCTGCATAGGAGGCTGGGGGTGGGGCACACAATGACAGTGACAGTGAGAGCGGCTGTGTCGGGTACTCAGACACTAAATCATCAACTCTTCACTTCCTAAAGTAGCTGACATACAGAAAGGTTAAAAAATATGCTAAAAAGCAGAATAAATGAGTTTCAAACCAAGCTTTATTTTTCCGACCAAATTGTAATCACATTGAAGTAACTGGGGTACACCTGTTAGCCAGAATGGACTATTCACACAGGTTGAGGGAAGACCTATCAGGAAAGGAGAATGGGGATGGACAGGGAGGACCAAGCACTTCTTGGGAGCAGACTCTGTGTTCATTCATTTAGTCCTACCACCCGGTCTACAGCTGGTGTCGAGGGATGTTTGTTTAATAAGTGGATGGAGCGATACATGTGATGTTGGTATTATATTCACAAACTATGGGTTTAATCTGTGGTTATTGGGGAGTTAGGAATATATATATACAAAGCAGACATAGTGATAGAAGAATGAAACTGTCTGGATGGATTTGGAAGAAAAGTGCAGAATCTCTGTTCCCAAGTGCTGAGGGCAGAGTTTGTCCAATGGCACCCAATACGGGGAGTCCTGTGTGCCCCAGGCAGCTCTGCCTAGGCTGGTGATCTAGGCTGTAAGTCCCACTAGGTGGAGGATGCACAACCAGGAGATGGGAGCTGGGGTCTGACCAAACTCATTACCCTCCCACAGACATCTTCCTGCCTGTTCAGTCCTGGGTGAGGCCACCCAGACCCAGCAGAGCCCTCAGGACTCTCCCCAGTTCCAGCTCCCTCTTGTCTCTAGGGTCCAGTGACTTCACTGTAAATGCTTCTTCTCAGGTCTAGCTCATGCCGCTCTGCCCAGCCCCTTGGGCATGGCATCTGTTGTCAAGCCATGTTAGCATCTTTTCCTGGGGTATTTCTCTTTGCGACATTCCCCAGAGGTGTAGAAAGGAGGCCTTCTCTTTTGCTCTCACTGAGATGTCAATATCTCACCCTCCAGCTAACTGAGGACCACAGTCAGAGCAAGAGGAACAAAGATGTGGTAACAGAGGGAAGATCTCCAGCAGGCCCCAGTCTGTAGGAACCAAGAGTGTGGGGGTAGCACGGGGATTACAAAACCAGGAAGGAAGAGTTATTTGGAGGCACACCTGACTTGCCAAAGGATGAAGACCATAAGAAAACATGTCAGGAGGAGACCACAGGTATGTCATGTGTGCATGTGTGTGTGTGTGCACACGCACACCCCTGGGGTTGGGTGTCCTAGGGAACTGTGTCAAATCTAGAGCATATGATCGAGGCTACGTTTGGCTAGGTATCAATTGCTTTTGGATAGTGCACTAACTAAAGAAGATAGAATTGATGGTCAGCAGTTCCTTAGAGAAAGAGGCATCCTGAACACATCAGGAAGAGAACCGCTGTTGATCAGGAATGCCTGCCAGACATACATGATAGGAGGGCACAACCTGTGTGCCAGGTGTCTGCTGTCTCACAGGGAGTCATAGGCTCAGCAATGCTCAAAGACGCTATGGACGAGAGTGTCAAGTTCACATTTTTGCACTGGGTGAAAGGGGCTTTTCCTGCCCGTTAAAGCGCTAGTAGGTAATAAGGTTCAGCTCATTTTCTTACGATGTGATGCAGTTAGGTTTAGCTGTCCAAAAGCTCTTCCCTAGATTGGTCTGAACTCCACCCTCTTCCTTATACTGTGTTGGTCATCGTGCTGCCTCTTGAGCTGTAAGGATGAGTGAGTGTTCTCTTTCTTTCTCAGGTAGCATTTGTGCTCTTTGGAGCATTCTTTCCCCTGTATCCCAGTTATTTGGTGGCTTTGAGAACCTCGGTGCTCACCTCAGTCCTCTCAACTCAGTCCTGTGGACTGCACCTGCAGCAGGTGCCCACCTCCCCAGCTGCTGCAGGGACAACTCCAGTGTTTCCAGCCCCCCACTTCCCAACCCCCTTAGCCCATGGCTGAGCTGCTGACTTTCAGGAGGTGATCTCCTCCTCCTGGAGCCTGACTGTTCTCCACTCTTCTCTAGAGCATCTCCATTTTGTTCCTGCTTCTACCTCTGGGGCCACGGTGAACTAATTTGCCAAGAAGACCAGAATTAGAGGGGATCTGTTCCATTTGCTCTTTTCATCTCAGGGTCTCCACACATGTGAAGGCTTCTTTCACAAGATTTGCAAATAGTCCTTCTGCAGTTTCAGCCTAGCTGGTCAGTACCAGAAGGCAGTTACAAGGGACAAGGACACCCAGGAAAGGACAAGTCTGTGTCCCAGAAGGCAGCAGGAGTTAAAGCAACTAAGGCAGATTGGAGCTCATGCCAACCCCACCCACCATCCAGGTGCACCGGGGATTGCCTGAGACATTCCCGTGGGCAGCGGCAGGAGCAGCTGCTGGGATGTGGGCTAAAGGATGGGCCTTCACTTGACTTATAGAGGTGCAGGTTATGTAAGCAGATGGGACGGGGAGTGGGAGGGGGTGCAGGCAATGAAGATCCAAGAGGGAGAAGACAGCTGCTTTAGAACAGAAAAAAAGTGCTTAAAGGAGAGCTCTAGAAGGTGCGGTTGTTGTTATAGGTGATGTATTTCTCTTCTTTGTAACCTTAAATAACCTTCTTCTTAAATAATAATTTTTAAAAAATCTACCTCTTTCTTTCTCAGGTTTGATGAGCTAATTTGTGATGTGGCAGAGAAGGAGTGAGTTTGAGGGTGTGTACTTGACTGTGTTGTTCTGTTCTTTGATGTTTATACGTTGAGAAAAGAATTAAAAGCAGACAGAGGCAACCTGAGAGGTTTTAGCTAAATCCAGGTTGCAGCAGATGTCAGAGCTTAGGACCCTTCAGCATGGCCCAGGGTGAGGGCAGGCCTTGGGTGGCTGTAAATATGATGTCCTCAACCTGCTGGGCCCATTTGCAAGGCCTGTTCTCCTAAAAATCACAGACAAACTAAAGATCCTATCAGGACAGTATGAGAGTTGGTGACTATAAAGATTTTGACAAATATCTCTCATATTTCTTTTAAAATGGGGGACAGGTCTCCAGATCAGGAAAACACAAAGGACGTTTTACACATCCTAAGTAGATGTCAAGGAATATTGTACAATTGGTATCCATTTACCGGTTCTTATTTCTAAGTAATTTTGAAGGATCTTTTTTCCCTGAAGCTTCAAAGAGATGCGAGAGTATCTTTAACAAAATGCAGGTTGAGATGCACAGCTTGAAAACCAATTAAAACACCCCTTTTCGCCTATCACCATTTTACAATTTATGCAATGGGGCCATCTTCGCCTGCCCCTAAATAAAAGCAAGACAAGTCCCAGCTCTTCTAGTAACTTGCAAGTAACTGGCAGTTCTACGGCCATTTTAAGCCTCACCATTGTCTCGATTTAGTAACTGGGTGCTGGCTCCAAGATCGGCCAAAAACTGCAAAAGGTCTGGTCCTAAGTCTTCCTCCTTCCTCAGTTCAGGTGTGGAAGCCTGTGGAATTCCAGGAAGGGGAGCTTTGGGATTGACTTCCTGATTTCTCAGAATTGTGCTTCAACAGTTTCCCAAATGTAAGCTTCTCAGAAGCTTCTGTCCCCTCTGGGGCTGGAAGGGAGGGAGCAAGCACAAGAGAACAGGGAAAGTCCTCCTTAGATGACACCATCATTCACCACCCTAGCACCCCAGGACCTGGCGGAAGCCTGGGCGTTCAGGGACACTTCAGAAGTCTGACCACTGAGGAACTTCCCGGAACTTTCCCCAACCCAGGGGGAAGATAGGCTATGGGTGAACGTTGCACCTCTTTCCTCACACCTAGAAATCCAGGCTCTTGATTGGGGTCTCACGACCACTACTGTTAATCGGAAGGTCCCGACTCTGGCCCTCTCTCAACACAGAGAGTTCCACGCAGACGCCTGCAAACATTCCCATGTCCCTCCATTCAAGAAACACTGGGTCTCCAAGCAGCAAGCTTCCTCAGGTTCCATCCACAAAGCAGGACCTTAGCCCTCTCCCTTTGCATTTCCTGGCAAGGAGACGAATCTCAACCTCCAGAGACATTCCAAAGCCCTTGGGATGATCTCACTCAAGTCTCTCTCCCCAACCCTGAGGTGACACCCAAAATCCAAGAGCATCTTGGAAAAACTCTCCCCAGCGATTTTCCTTCTTTCATGCTTTTTAACTCTCTTTGGAGCAACAATGGAGAAGAGGAGCCTGGGCGGGCCCTGACACTCTCTTGTGCCCTCTCCCTCTTAGCTCTGGACTCCTCATCTGTTATCTCAGGGCACCCGTCAGAGGCTGTGGTTTCAACATCCTGCAACAAATTTGTTCTGAGATAATTTCCGTGCCAGGAGGAACTTTTATTCTTTCTCTCTTTGGTCTCCCATCCAAATGTTCCGTGCCTTTGTGGATCTGTGACTCAGAAGCTAAGACACACTCTAAGTCACAAGATGGAATGACTCATGCCTGTTTTGTACTCTTCTAAATCCTGAGATGCAGAATAACTATATCAAAGTCAGCTGGAATATTCTAGAATTCCAGGTAAGGGGGCAAAGAATTCCAGGTAAGGAGGACTCCAAAGTTGGGGAAAGAATTTTGTGTGCTAATAATTTAAGGGAGAGAGCTTTGTAGTTTGCTTTATTCTGGTAAGATGGTAGCTAGACCTGAAATGATAAGATATCGTATTTAGTATTGATGACCTCCTGTGTCAGAAAGCAGCTTGCACTGCTTCATTATAACATCTCAGTCTGCAAAACAACTCCCCTAGCCAGCATGTATACTTTGATTAGCTGTTACTTCCTCCAGAAACCCTGTCCTGACCTCAGACTATATCGAAAGCCCCGTTCCATTCTCTCAGAGCAAGCTGTAGTTGAGTGCTTGTCACATGGCATGGTAATCATCTGTGAGGTTATGCTGTAGCAACAGATAACCCCCAATCTAGGATGCTTAAAGAGCAAAGGCAGAGCACATTGTCACGCAAACCCCCAGAGACTCTCCCTTCATTGCAGGGACTCAGCCTGCCCAGTTCCTGGGATCTTGTCTCCAGTTCAGCAAAGGTTGTTGCAGTGGAGAAAGAAACAACAGGAAGGATCCATGTCAGTTGTCCCAGGCTGCAGCCTGGGCATGTGTGAGTCACCTCTCCCGTGGCCCTGGGGTCAGGACTGGTCCCGTGGTCTTGCTTCCCTGTGAGGGGCGTGGCAGTGGTGGGAGGATGCGGGGATGCAGTTGGCAAGCTGGAGTTGCTCACCTGCTCCTCCAGACCTCCCTGTCATCCCTTCAGAGCCCAGTGTGCTGAGCCCCGCACAGGCCAGATTTGACAGGAGCTGGGATTCTGGGAGCTGTGGGAGGCCCAGCACGTGAAACTCTCAGTCTTGGCAGAGGAGTCTCAATTGTTCTTTTAAACAATATGAGCGACCATTTATCGGATGGCCTCCTGCTACCTTAACTCCATTATTTCTGTTCTTTGCAGCAAATCTATCAGGCAAAGACTGCAACAGTCACGTGGCTGAGTCGGGATTTGGGCCTGAGTCTATAAAGCCTACACTGTTTTGCACTATGCAAGTATTTGAGGCAAGTACAGAATGTTCAAATCTGTGTGGGAAAGAAAAACCCAGGCAAGCTATGAAAGGGAGAAGAGTCAGGAGGCTGCTAAAGGGGTCCAGTGGGAAGCTGTGGATTGCTGAACCAGGCTTGGGACGACGGTGGGCGTGGGGAGAATGACCTCTAAAGTTGGTGGAAATCTCTAAACCTGACCCCATCCCTGAGGATATTTCCAAGAATCAAGGCCAGGTTGTCAGAGTTCAACGTCTTTCCTGTTCTTCCGATGGCCAGAGCAGACCACTCATCCTGCAGAGGAGTGCAGAAGCCCGTGTGGGTCCTTTGCTGTATTTTATTTTGGCAACTCTATTGAGTGCCTGCAATGCCCCATGGGAGCTGGGGACAGGAGGGCTTACAGATGGGAACGAGACCCAGAGCCTCCCTCCAGGCGTGGCAGTTGAAGGGGACTGGGCCATGTTCAGACGGGTCCTTCAGACCACTGGGAGCCAAGGCCCTTAGGAGTGTGGCAACATGGAGCAATGTGAGTCCAAAGAAGCCACTCTGTAGAGTCTGGAAGGGAGGCTGTCAGGACATTGGAAGTGGAGGAGAGGCTGGGTTAGAATCAAGGACTGTGGGACCCTGGGGTTCTGAGCTCACCTCCCGGTGCTTCCTGAACTGGCTGATGGCCCAGAGAGCTCTGCTGTGCAAACACAGCTCAGGGAGCTGGCACAGGCGTGGCACGAGGGAGGACCACCGAGCTTCGGGACTCCTCAGTCATGGCTGCCACTCTGTTGCCAATATGTTTTATGATCTCGGACATCACTTTGTCCACTCTAAGCCTCCGTCTTCCCCTGATCTCCCAGCCACCCATTAGGTAGAGGTAGGCATGGCAGAATGTCGCTCTTCTATCAAAAACAAAGCTGAGAGTTGGGGGAGGTGATCCTTGCTCTGAGGTGATCCTTGCAGTTGCCTGGGAGGTAGATTATCATCACCAGATCACTTCACAAAAGGGCAACACCAGGGAGACCATTTCCCAACCCTGTGCAGCTGGCTGGTGGAAAGCAGGTGTTCTAAGCTGTGCTGAGCCGTCGACAGCTGTGTCCTTCCACTTCTGCTCACACGCGGGCAGCACGGAAGCCTGGGTGTGATTTCCTGAAAATGTGAAACGTCACCTTCACCAGAGGGAAGACTTTTGAAAAATTTGCAAAACATTCTGCCTCCAGTAGCTATTTGGAGGCTCTGAAGGCATTTGTATGTGGAATATTGCAGAGAAGATCACAAACCTCTGCACCCCATGACTCGAAGGAACCAAGATTTCCCCCCTTCTCTAAAGCAAATTAAATGTTGCATAATGAGATCCAGGTAAGATAGAGTTAAATAACAAAACTGTGGACATGAAGCTCTGTCCTCATTAAACTGGAAGACACGCTTTGCCTTTTTGCCTGTCATCTGGGGTCATACCCCATCACCTCCTGGATTCCGAATCACCCCAAAGCCTGCAGTCAAAGCCATCTCACACTATTAGTCTTCTAGACTCTTTCTTCTTTAAATGTTATTAAATTTATGAAATCCTGAGCAGAATGACTTTGATCTAGTATTCCAATTTAGAAAACTTTAGCTTAGGTGTCACAAGTCAGACAATGTGGAATCTGGGCTGTAGGCAGACTGTAATTTACTTTTTGCTTTGTATTTTTCTAAAAACCTAATGCTTGCAGTTGGAAGAACCCATTTCACTTCCATTAAGTCTTTTTACTTTTATTTCCAATCTCCTTCAAACCGACTACTCTTATTTACATCTTTATTGCTTCCTCTAGAGTTCTGGCCACCATCTCAGTCCAATTGCTCCAGCCTCCAGTTTTGCTAGGTACAGATCAATTCTACGGTGCAGTTGGGGGATTTATCACAAGTCCAAACCTGCTCTGTCTCTCACCTAGGAGAACTTCGACTTCTCCACCCTCTCCACTGCCCATAGGATGAAGTCCAGTCTCCCTGGACAGGCAAGCCAGATCCTCTGCAGTCCACACACCTCATGCTGGTTTTCCTGAGGCTCTGCTCCTCCTGCCCTCTGCTAATTTTCCTGGCTGACTCTTGTTCATCTTTGTATCTAAACTCAGACCAAACCCTAAAATACTCTAAAAAGATGGGCCTGACTCCTTAGTACTGATTAGGGTTGGTTCCTTTGTGTTCTCAGGGGCCCCAATACTTCTCCAATTTGGGGTGACCAATTACCCCAAATTTAATCCCATTAATTTCTCCATATCCCTTAAGAGAGCACCATTTCCTACAAGGTTGGAATCATCAGAAAGTGTCATCAGAAAAACACCTGCTGCCGAGAAGCTCCCAGTCTTGTCTGAAGGAATAAATGTTAAGACTTATTCTTCAGTGAGACTGAGAACCCTGGCAGTGAGCTCTGTGTAAGGAGACCGCAGCTCACAGGTTTGAGTGATTTCTCCCCCAAGTGAGAGCTTTCCCTGATCCTCCTCTGACAATCCCAGAGCACAAACGCTGAGCCTTGCACACACGAGTGCTCCACACGTTTCCATAGGAATAAGAGAGTGGAGCCGGCCGGGTCTGTCTGCTATGAACCTGGGGTGAGCCCCTGTGCCTTGTGGAGGGCTCCGTGGCTCCAGTGGCCTCAGAGACCCCAATGTCCCCATGTCTGTCCTCTCTACAGTCACCTCGAGAAAGATCAGGAGAAAGTCAAGACAGCTGGATGATCCCATTAACAACCAATAATCTGGGAATGTTGCTAAATTCATTTGAAGCTGAGCTACCTGCAATTCCCCGTGGGTCCATTAACCTGCAGCCGGAATTAGATTACGGAGGAATAACATTAGAGAGTCACAGTGCTCAGTTCATTGAAAGGCACACCTGTGAATCACAGCATCATCCTCTTTGAAAGGCAGAGGATTCCGTCACCCCCAAACCCCCTGGGACCACTCACGAATGTCCGGCTTGAGGTTTATTTTAGAGAAATCACATTTTCAATATGGGTTCTAAGATCTATTTATTGTTTTAAAAAATCTGTTTGAAATGAAATAAATGTCGCACTTTAGAGTGAGGCCAAGGTAAGCTAGAGTTCAAGCTTGGACCTGCCATCTCCTGGCCTGGTGACCACAGGGAGGGTACGCAGTGTCTCTGAGCCTTACAATCATGTTGACGGTGGGGGGGGGGTGGCCATGACACACATGTCCCAGTCCTGGGAGGAAGACTGGCACCTGGACATCGCCATCTGAGGAGACGGTATGGGAGCACTGGGGAGAACCACCCCACCTGGCCAAGAGAGTGAAGAATGGAGCCTCAAAGAGACGCCCCCCCCCCCCGCCCCCGAGCAGAGCCAGGAAGAAGCAGCAGGTGCAGGTGGAGTAGGTGGCAGGACACAGCACTTGTCCTGGAGACGGTCTGGGCTCTCACAACTGAAAAGTACAGGAAAGGCTGTTCAGTGCACTGGTCAGAACTCGGGGGGGGTGGGGGGTGCTCCTCAAACGGGCAGGAGAAGGAGCTATGGTCAAGTGCCTGGGCTGGAGGGACGGTGGCCCCACGATGCAGCTGGGCTGACTGAGGCAGACATTGAGTCCAGAAGAGATGCTAGTCGCCTGGGGGGTCACCCAGCACCCTCAGAGCCCTTCACCTCTAAACCAGTGCTGTGAAAGAGTGCCAAGTGATTAGTCTGGGAAAAGGACTGGGGCCTCCAGAGCCCGTCACATGCACCCCACTTAGAGATGGTGGCTGCCCCCACCTGGCCCAGGACAGCTATCTGCTCTTGCTGCAGGTTCCTCCACAGCCAGGCACCCCAACTCCTCCCATCACAGGCTGCCCTTCCTCGCTGCTCCCTCTCAACGCCAGGTTGTCAGGTCCTCCCAGGGGACAGTGAGAACAGAGCGCAGCCACCTCAGAGGACATGCAGCCTACAAGACCCTGGGGAAGCTCCTCTCCTGTGGAAGCCGAGTCCTCTTCCCGAGCCTGGGTCGGCCACCCTCTGCAGCACCCACACTCAGTAGCCAGGGTGCAGGGAGGGGAAATGGCGGGTGTTAGTCGAAGAGACAGTCTGTGGCTTAGCAAATCAGTGTGACCTGGGGTGGGACACAGAGCCTTTCTTAGTCTCAGCCTCTAAGTTTGACTTACCTGCCAAACGGGAGTTGTGGTATGTGACAGAAGGCTGAGAGTGTGGTGCCCGGCCCAACCAGCCACCGCGCACCTCCATCAATGCTGGGCTTCTCCCCTCCCCCTCTTCCGTCCTCCCTTCCTCCTTTCCTCCTCCCAAGCCTCCAGTTCATCTCCTTCTCCTCCTCCTACTCACATCCCGTATGTCCCCTGTCCTCGTTGAAGCCCGAGGACAACATCAGTGATCACGCTCTCAGAGTGAACCAGACCTTCCTGTTTTGCTTCCCGATGGCACCAGTTCCTCCTGAGGACAGAGCTGTCTCTGTTCCTCTGTGCCGTGGGCAGATGGCGGGGAGTGTGTGTTCCTGCAGAAGAGCGTGCTGTCCCTGCTCCCCAGCCTCCCGCGGGCCCCTTCCTGGAAGACATCCAGAAGGACCGGCAGCACTGCATCAGCTTCCCAGACCACAGGAGCACTCACCACCTTCGAAAGCACGAGGCTGAGAGGAATGACATGGAGGGCCCCATGGAGGTTTCCAGAGCACCAGGGACCAAGGCCCTGAGGACCGCATTGGCTGGTGAGACAGGGTCCCTCACAGGTGGCTCTCCAGTTGACGGAGGCGCAGGAGCCGCTGTCATTGTGTCTATAGCTTAGGAAACCCAGGTGAGATGGGCTTGGTCGCTCTCCCCAAATACAGTGACTAGGAAACAGATGTGGTAAGGTGCCTGGTCCTGAGAGGCCGAATCAGTGTTCTTTCACTATGATAACTGCCTCTATATATTTCATAAGTATTTGGATTTTCAACCAAGTCTAGATAAATAACTCAGAAGTTTCATTTTTCTTCATGGTTTGACTTTTGTTTTTCACTTTTATGGTCAGTTTTGGTTAAGGGCAAGAATCAACCTCTTCCCTATTGAAACTGTCCCTTCTGTCATTCTGCCTCTTCTGCTGGGGCTTCACACCACCCATCATCCATGCAAAACCCGGGAACCATCTTAAACCCTTGCTACTTCTCACACCCTCCTGACTCCCCCCAGTCAGCCCAGGCCCCGTAACGGCCTGTACAGGTACCTCTTGCACCTGTCCTTCTACCCCACCCCATCAGCACGCGACCCCAGGCTGTTTCCTGCCAGTGAGGAGCAGTGACCTCCATCTGGTGGCCCTTCTGAGGAGCCTCCTCCCAGTTGAGGCTGCATACATCAGGGAGGTGGTCCTCCATGACCCCACTTCCTAAAGGAAGCACCGCGTAACCAGGGAGGGTCTCACAGCCAGCCTTTACACACAAGGCCCCTCACCCTCAATACCTCCCCAACTAACACGTCACCCAGTTCAGCAGAGCGCAGCCTCCACCCCCAGCCTACCTGCAGCACGTGCGCTCCTCACTGAACCTTCCTCCTCCCAGATGTGGACCAGTCCACCTAGCAGCAAGGTAGCCTCCCCTGCCACCCTCAGACACTCCCTACCCTCTGCAGAAGTGCCCCTTCCTGAGGTTCACCAGTCCCCTCACCGTCTGCATCATCAGGCTCCAGTGCCCCTCCCCCCGTCCAGGATGCCTCCTCCTGTGACTGTCCTCCCAAGGCCCACACAGCCAGGAACCAAGGTTAGAACCCAGGGCTCTCCCTCTCCATCTGTCCTCCTTCCTTCTGCAGGGCCCCGTCTCCAGCAGGCAATTCAGGCAATTTCATTCCATTCTGGGTTCCTCCACTGTAACTGGCAGGGACGAGGTTGGGCCAGGCCGCTGGGGAGTGCTTCAATTGGTGGTTAATGTAAAGGGATAGGTCCCTGGTGGCTTCTTGGGGGAAATTATTTCAAGATTTATTTTCAAAATGTAGAGGAAACAGGCCTTGATTCTGGGCAGCTAATTACGGCTCTGACTGCTAAGTCGTGCTGATGAGATGACTTCAGAAGAACAAGTGCTCTGCTGAGCCCCAGGGCGGGCACTTCAGGCTGCCCTCAGGGGTCCCTGCTGGCTGCAGCGGGCTGAGGGAGGGGACTCTCAACAGGACTCCTCGGTGCTGTGCATGGAGAGAGGGTCTTACTCCTCAGCGGTGAACTTCAGAGTGAGACAGGATGTCTGTGGGTACATGCCCCAGGCTGTGAAGCTCTGCAGAGTTAGCCTTGACTGGGGAAGACAGAAAAAATGAAATAATAGAAAAAAAAAAAGGATTTGTCTTTTTGAAGTTACTAAGTGTAAAATTGCTGGTCTCCGACCAAGGCTCCCATCACCTTAGGTCCCAAGGTGGTCCAGGCTGGGTGATGGAGAAGGACCCTGTGTGCGGTTCCTGAGGTCTCTACCTCATGATGACGTGGATTATGAAACTCTGATCAGAGCCAGGGGACACAGTCCTCATTCGGGTCTGCAGATGAGCCACTGGAAACCTTCAGATGTCCCTTAGCTCTTGGGACTCACATTCATGCTTTGCAAAATGAGGAGATAGAACTACTGCTCTATCTTCCAAATCATAACATTCTGGGTATTCACCCACTGCTTGTTCTCTTATGTAATATTTTTCTTTCAGTTTACCTTGTCAATCCTGTTTTAAAACTTTGCCGTTTTTTTAAGGAATGATAAAATTGTGGGTTTGATATGCTAATGACATATTTTCTAATTCAGTCATTCAGACATCGCATCTGGCAGAGTGTCCTTGGCTGAAAGCGATTGGAAACCATTGCAGCCATCTTTAACAGAGAGAGATTTGGGGGAAGGATATTGGGGTCTCATGGGGATTTTGGAAGCTCGAAGGCCATTCTGGTTGGTCAGGCTGCAAAGCACTGCTGTGGTCCTGCAGCATAAACATGCCGGTGTCTGCAAAGCCCCACATCACAGCACTGCCACCACCATGAGCTATCCCCAAGTCACCATGCCATATGCTCAGAATACAAAACCATGGGGCCTAGACCAAGTCACATTTATCTACCTTGGGACAAAATTGGGGAAGATAACTGTCTGGTTCTTTGGACCTTATTAGTAGCCTAGATCCCTGGGAATCACACAAAATGGGAGATTCCCAAAGGGGAGAACCAAGCACTAAATGAAAGACAAATTGAATGATGGATAGCAAAAGATCAAAACAAATAAAAACTCTCCCAAAATGGAAAACAACTGACTAAAATAAATACATAATTATGAAAATATTCCTTCATTCATGTCCCATAGCAATGTAAGCTCATGCATCAATCACTGCATGCACCACTCTTTAGCCTTTTTTTCAACTTTTAGGTTGACCTTGTATTTTTATCACATTTTTGATGCGTTCAGACTGCCATGCTCACATGCATGTCGCCAGGAGAAGTAGCAAGCAGCTGAAAATAAGGAAGAGCCCAAACCTCCTAGTGACCTTGAGATCTCACTATCCTTTGATCTGAGTGTAAGTTCCTGGAATTATCTGGGACAGTCAATGGTCAAGACGTCATCTCATGCCAGGGCTGCAGAGATGCCATGTTCAGACAGGGCGTTAGAGATACCCAGCTAAGTCGTAGTGTATTCTACTCTTCTTACACCTCTATTTGGTAATTCCTATTAAAATATTAGCTTTGGAAGGGACCTTACCAGCAATCCCATTCATTATTGAAGACAAAATCCAGAAGTGGGTTATTCAAAATTACCTCCAAGAATGGTACACTGGCCTGGAATATTCTCGAACCCGTTCTGAAGCCCATGATAGACATTCTAGTTCAAGTATTAGGGCATTGCTTCTGTCTTAAAATGGCCCCATTTCCTTTTTAAAGAAAATCATTCCACAGTTACCTGATACAGAAAAGTAAAATAATTTTTTTCTGGCTCCACAGACATTAAATACATGTTAATGCATAGTTCCTTATTAATAAACAATGAATGGTTCCCACTTATGCATGCATGTGCAAACACATGCCAAAGGGAGAAATTAAACAGCTTCAAATATTTGTATGTTTTGGTACAAATGTGCATATTAGATATTAAAGTCAAAATCCAGGAAGAAAAGGGTGAGAAGTTGTCGGGTAACCATCAATTTTAAACCAAGGGATCTCAAAGAAACAAAGGAAAATAAAAATAAAAGAAACGAAACAGTAAGCTGGTCAAATCTTGGAAAATTTTGATTCAAACTCCGGATGGTTTTTGCTGGTGGGATGACAGCAAGAGTGCACTTACCAACAATTCAGTGGCCTCGCCATGTGACGTGCCTTGGATGTTAGCCATTGTGACACAAGAAAGAGCTGAAAAGCACTGGCTGTCAGTTATTTTCTCTTGCTTCTGCTTAAATCCTGCCACGTGAGTGAGCCTGGGGGAGCTGGTTGGAGGATGAGATTTTCTGTGGACAAGAGACAAGATATTCTAGTTGAGTCCTCTTTGATCAACCAGTCCTGACAGCCAGTGGGACTTGGCAGCAGATGACAAAAGTCTAAAGGAGTAAGCCCTGCTGAGCTTAGTCCCGTTGCCTCCTTACGAACCATAAGCTAAATAAGTGGTTGCTCTGAGTTACTACAAAGAAAAAGCTGACACCGTATGTGTTAGTCAGCCCTACCTTACTACAACAAAATATCTGAGGCAGCTACTTTATAAAGAGAAAAAGGTTATTTAACTCACAGTTTTGGAGGCTGAAAGTTCTCAAAGTATGGACTTGGTGCCTGCCCCCTGGCTGCACCACCTCACGCACAGATGGCAATAATGGGAACACATGCAGGAGCAAGTGACTGATCGAATCCTGAACCAGGAGCAGAGAGGCAGGAAGGCTCCTCCCAGGGCATGCCCCCAGTGACCTGAGGACCTCGAAGAGGCCCCACCTCTGCACAGTCTTCAAAATCCAACCTCCAGTGCCTCTTGTTCTGTGGAACCTGTGTGTCCTTGCTAATCCTGGTCCCTTCCTCGGGCTCCGTAAGACATTGCACACGACTCCACTGCAGCCTTAGCAGCACACCCACTGTCACTACTGTTTAAAAATGACCTGAGCAGCTGTAAGGTGACCTCCTTGAACACAGGACTGTCCGCTCCGGTTTTTCATCCTTTGGGGATAGCATGCAGCCGGGCTCTGATACCCATGATGAATTAAGGAATCAACTAACTAGACATGCTGGATGAACTTCAGAGAATAAATTTAATGCAATTTGTACTTTGTGTAAAGCCAAATTTATGATTCTCCACGTTTGGCCTGTTCTCTGAAGACTGCTCTATCATCACCCACATTCTGTTTGTTTCTAAGGAGCCTCTCTTGGTTTCAGGGCAAGCAGCTCATAAAGGAAATAAAAAAAAAAGTTGGTTAAAGTATAAGAAAAGCTGAGTCAAGTCTGTTTGAAGAAATGAGCTTAGAGGAAGCTAGAGGCTCTGAGCAGCTGAGCCGTCAGACTGACAAGAGCCCCGAACCCCGGGATCCAGACAGGACAGGCTGGAGTGCACCTGGGCAGCTACCCCCAAGCCCAGGGGCGTAACAGCAAACAGTACTCTTTGCTTTTGCTGCATGAACCGTGTGGGTGGGCAGGGTGGTCCAGTCAACCTGGTCCCTCTGGAACCTGGACCCACAGAAGCTCCATCTCAGCTCCTGCAGCCATGATCTGAGGGTAAAGAGAAACGGTGGCCCTGCACTGGCTGTCAGAGATGCCATCTGGGAGGGACACACTGTATTGATGCCCCCATTTAGTTGGTTAAAAGAGGTCGTGTTGGGGGGCCTCCCTCCAATGCCAATGACTGTGAGGATAGTGATCTTTCCAGAGGACCTTCAGTTCTCAAAAGGTACCTGACCATGACCTTCAACAGGGGATTGAAAGTAGGTCTCAGCTTCCTTCAGCCGGGTACAGGGCTTTTCCACAGTTGTTTCAAAAGGCAAGACAAAGTTTTAACTGCCACAAGTAACAGAAAATGAAAGGGTGGCCCAGGCACACCTCAACCCTGTACCCTCTCTTGGACACGCCAGTGAGCTGTGGCCATCGAGTGTGCCAGGTTGCCGTGGGGGGATATTGGGTGCTGTGCAGGCAGAAGGAGGGACACTGATCTTGGCAGGGAGCAACTGGGGAGCAGATGTGGTCATCACCAAGCGTCTCGGAGGATCTACTGGTGTTGCCCCTCAAAAGGACAAGGAAGATAAGTGTCCTCAGGGGAGGGACAGAGACAAGGCCCCTGTGGTCATGAATCTGGTCCATTCTGCTTTAGTCTGACCTTAGAATTTTTGACAACTCATTTGCACACCTGTGACCTGGAGTAAGCACCTTCCTCTCTCTATTCCCTGTGTCACCCTTTACAAAACGAAGAGTTGCCATCAAATCCCATTTGAAGAAAGAAACTTGACCATTGGATGCTGAAATTCACCCAGGATAGCAAATTAGTAAGAACAACTCACAGTATTTTGAATAAGAAATACAGTCAGACCAAACTCGTCTTATAAAAATACGATCCGACTTGAGGGATATAGGAATTAATTTTGCTTAAAACATGGCAGTGTCCAAAGACCAGCCAAGTCCATTTAAAGAGCAGAAAAGAGAGTCCAGACCCAGCCCAGGAATTTCAGAACTTGTGAGAAGACTTTCATTTCTAATCAGCAGGCAAGGAGTGAGAATTCAAGAAACAGTGCTAAGACGGTTGAATAACGACTGAAAAACTTGTTCTCTTTCAAGTCACGTCATAGGTAAAAATAATATCCCAATAGTGTTAAAGATATGTTTTTAAAGTAAAATTTGAAAATTTTACAATAAATTTCGAAGAACAGTTTTTATTAACATAGATTGGGAGCATTGTCCCAGAGAAGATTTAAAACTTTTGACACCATGAAGAAAAGACTGACATATTTGATATAAAATGTTTTTTTTAATTCCTTTTTTTGTGAAAAACAACATAACAAATTTAAAAGTGACAAGTAAGAAAAATATTGCAATATACATTATAAATGATTAATAATAAGAATATATACAAAGAGCTCCTTGCAATCAATTATTAAAACTCTTCATAGAAAAACAGGCATAAATAGGCATAAATATAAAACAACAATTAATACAAGATATATAAAACACCAATAAACATCTGAAAAAGTTCCCAATCCCAGAAAATATATCAAGCCTGTGTACACTGAAGTAAAAAGATACAATTTGCATTAAGATGGTAAAAAATAAAATAAATCTAGCCAATTAAATCCAGGGTTACTGCGTGAAAATGGATATTCTCATTAGATGATAGAAAAATTCACCTGGTTAGGAACATGGACTGTGCCGCCAGATGACCAGGGATGATGTCTTGTTCTGTGTGACTTTAAGTCAATTGCTTAACCTCACAGCTCTATTTTTCTGATTTTTAGCATTGCCTAGGCCTTAGAGTTATTGTGATGTTAAATATGATAATCCAGGGAGAATGTGAGAACAATTACCGCCGACACAAGGTGAGTGCTCCCAGATGATTAGCTTTTTCACTGTCAGTGAGAGTCTCAAAACTAGGAATGCATAGACAATATCATGAAGAAGCAGGCAAGACCAGTGGACTAGGAAAAGGAGATGAAGAAGGGGGAGGGAATGTTGAATGAATTTAACAAAATCATGCCATGTGCATGTATAAATATTCCACGGAAATTCCACTTTTATGTACAGGTAGAAAGCACCAATGAAAACTAAATGAATAAGTGAGTGAAAGGAAGATGGGTAGAGTATAAAAAGGAGAATAGAAAGAGGGAGGAGGGGAGGGAACGGCGAGAACAGGGACTGAAATGGAGTAAATAAAATTCCATGCATGGATGATTTTGTCAAAATGAACCCAAGAGAATGTAGACCTATAATGCTCCAATAAAAGGAAAAAGAAAAAAAAAACCACTTGTGTAATTTAATTTATAGGAATTTGTCTCATAGAAATAACCACCTAAGGGCATACATTTATTTTTACAAGAACATCTTTGTCAATATTTTAATGGTAAAACATACAGGACAACTTAAGTATTAGTTAAAAGAAGAGGAGTGACATAGAGTGTGGCCATGTCCTCTTTAGAAGGTTATGCAACTGCTTACAAAGAACAAGCTTTACTTACTGAGAGAGATGAATCACTGTATATAAAAACAAAAGGACAATTTGGAAAGTCTTTGTAAAATGTAATATTGGTAAACACATTAACAATCTTGCCTGATTGTCAGTAGTAGTTAATTTTGAGGACAGGAGTGGGTTGGAAGATGCCAAGACAGATTATAACTCTTGCCTCCATAACATTTTTATTTTTCCACAACAATATGTATTTCTTTTATTTTTTATGTATTTATTCACTCATTCTTTTTAGTTATACCCGGCAGTAGGGTGGATTTTGACATAGCCTACACACCTGGAGCACAGCTTCCCGTTCTTGCGGTTGAAGGTGCTGTGGAGTTACACTGGTTGTGTATTCATATATGAACGTAGGAAAGTCCTGTCTGATTCATTCTACTGTCCTTCCCATTCCCAGCCCCTCTGTTTCCCCCCACTTTCCCTATCCAATCCAGTGAACTAACAATATGGATTTCTTTATTCACTGAAAACAAGATTATTAAATTAAATGACTGAGCTTCATGTTCTGCAAATAGAAGTTCTTCTCTCTCAGTGCTCCAAGTCTTTGATTTTATTCCCAGGTAATGGGGAGCCTTGGATGGCTTTTGAGGGGGAAACTGACCTGTCAGGACTACGGGATTCTTGAATGAGCCGCTCTGGTCTCTCACTTCCCTCACCTCCTCTCTGCACTGTGTGCGCGTCTCCTTTATCTTTGCCACCCGGCAGTGGCTGTTCTGGGACGTTTTCTCTCCGCCAAGCTTTCAACGCTCAAGTTTATTTCTCTCCTAAGATCTTGATTGTTTTCCTCTTTTCTAGTGAAACCGGCTTCTGATACCACTTCTGTCTTACTGCTTATTGAGCTTCCTGAGAGGTTGCTTACAGCGGAGAGTTTATTTGCAGCCAAGAGGCTGAGGGGCGGAGGGAGGAGGGAGGCCCTGTGAGGAGTGCTGGGGCCAGGTACCAGGTACCCTGCTTACCGCCAGCCTGGGACTCACGGTCCCTGAGGCTCAGTTGCCACACGGACTGTACAGGGTGTCAGAGCAGGTGGTCTGAGGCCCCATCCAGTGGTGACTGTTACAGGGCAGAGGCCTGAATGTAGGTCCCCTTCCCTAGTTCTTGGGATCACACCAGAAGAGTTTCAGACATGTCCCTCGGCATAGCAGGCGTGAGTTTATTAGGAGTAGGGAAGCGGAAAGGGGACAGACACTCTCAAGGCAGAGACTGGGTTCTCTCAGGAGGATGGAGCACCTCTCCTGCTCTCCTGCCCACAGTTTTATTGGGGGCCCAGGGAAGTTTTCATAAAGACCTGCCCAGGTCCACCTCTTGACCTTCGACAGCAGGGTGACATGAGGCTTTTAAGTGCCTACTGTCATGACCACTCTAGGTCACTTGGGCGCATGTTGACCTGTTCTAATTGGAACCCATTCCTACAGATTTTATGATTAGGGTGAGTCACCCTTATCTCCCTGCGTTCTGTGGTCCATGTACGGGCCTTAGAAGTCCGCTCTTCTGTGTATTTGGTGTTCTTATCTGCATTTTGTGGCCTGCCTTTCTCCTGCAGCTGGAGGTAGTTTGCTGAGAAGTGTAACATGTCCTCTGGACTTCAGCCCAGGCAGGGCTGCAGGTAAACTGCTTTTAAAAAAAAGAAAGCCTGTGGGGGTTGCAGAGTGGGCTAGGTTTACAGAATCATTCCCCTAACCTCATGTCCCCACCACTCACGTCTGTCTGTGTCCTATCAGTGACCATCTCAGATCCCAAGGCAATCAGGGGACAACAGAGCTCAAAACCATGGCTCAAGAGAAGGAAATGAGTCCTGAGGAGCAGCTCCGAATTCTCAGGTAAGGAGCTCCAGACTCCTGAGAGAGCTCCCTGGCCACTGTCCTAGGCTGCTGTCGACCAGCCATGACCAGGATCTCCCGTGACATGGGGCTGAGTGTGAAGCCACCGTGGGCTCCCAGAGGTCAAAGGCCTCCTTTCCCGCTGGAAAGAAATTAAGCACTTTGGCAGGAGGCCTGGGCTGGGGGCTGGGGTGTGCAATCAGAAGCTGCAAAGAGGTGGACCCCCACACCCTCCAGCCAGCCCAGGGCCCTCCCTCCACCTGCACCTGTCCAGGGGGGTCTTCTAA